TTCTAAACTTGGCTATATAGTTTTTTATAATAGTAAATGTGTATTAATTATTAACATTCTAATTTTAAAGTTTAGAAAGTTTTTGGATAACAAGTATAATGTCAGTATGGTTTAGTAATAATAATATCTTAGGTTATTAGATATTAATAGATTGAGTTTAAACATTGATAACAAAAATACATGACTAACTACTTATGCAATCAGTCACATATTTCTGTTATCACTGTCTGAAATCAATTCACTAATACCTAATAACCCAAGATATTATTATTTAATATTCTAACCTCTTATATAAATAAATACATTATTAGCTTATATATATTAAACTTATATAAAATGATATTAGTTTGATAATTCAAATATAAGATTCAATTTTCTTTTTTCTTTTAAAAATATTAATACTAAAAAAATAAAAAATAAATTGTTCTTTTATAAAAGCTTCTGATTTTAATTTTATTTATGATAATACTTACAAAAGATATAAAAAACAATTAGCAAAAGACTTCAATTTTACCAAAAAAAGGCCATATTTGAAAATATTCAAAAAAGTACTATAACATAAGCTAATTAATTTAAGAATTATATTAACAATGTTTAATCAAATTTTAATTTTGATATTTCTGAAGATAAAGTAACTATTGCAAGTCTTTTGACTGAATTTATTATTCAAGTAAAAACACAAAATAATATAAAATATTTATCTGACTCTTTATATGTTGAAATTAATGGTATAAATCATTATTTATAAATAAGTTTTAAGTATCAACCAGTTAATATCTAAGATAATTTTAAGTTTAAAGAATTCTGTAAAATATTTTATTGTCATATAAAAGAGTTAGAGTAATTAACTTTATATCAAAGTGCCAATTTATTAACTGATAAGGAAATAAAAATTATTTTTAATCATTTACAAATTTCATAAAACAATCTACAAAGACTTCTATTTTGAATATTTTTTTAAATAGTATATATTATTACAAGATAGAATAATTTTTATTATAAAATAAAACTAAAAAATTTGGTTTCATATAATGATGATAACTTTGATTTAGTAATAATTTATAATAAAACATATTAAAATAATTATTTTCATTATTGACATGTATATGAGAAAGTGATTGAACAGTTTAATATTATACTACCTGATAAACTCAATAATATGAACTAATTATTAATATTAAACTTTATATTTTTAAATGACCTTCTAATGTAAATAAAAAAAATTTTTTATTCACCTATTAATATTTAGATATACTAATAATTTATTAAATTTTTATTTAAATTTTTATATATTATATATATATATATATATTTTTAATGATATTTTGTATTTAAACCATTATATAGATCATAATAAGTTATCAAGTTTTATAAAGAAAATTTGTTTCATTATAGGTATTAATTGTGCTAATAAAAGAATTATAAACTACTCTCTTTATAAATATATAACTTAAAAATTAAATAATGCTAGAGTAGATATTCAAACTAGAATAAGCAATACCAAATATCACATAATAGAGGCATACAATATATATAAGTTACAAAATGAGCAGCAATAAGTTAATGTTGCAAAACTTGTAGTACTATATAATATACAAAAGGTTTATATATATATATATTATATATTATTTTATATTTACTATATATATTATATTTATTTATAAAATTTTATATTTACAAGTATAATGAAAGTAATGAAACTAAGAAAAGTAATAAAACTAAGAAAAGTAATGAAACTGAGGAAAGTAATAAATATAATAATAATCATAATAGTAATAATGAAAATGAAGTTAATTATAAAAATAATGAAATTGATAATAAATATAAAAATAATTAAAATAAAGATCAAGCCAATTTAATTACCAAAAATTGATCAAGATCTCCATTTACTTTTTTATTTATTTTATAAGCAACTCAAAATAATAATGCTAAGAGATTCATGTTAATAATTTAAATTTAACTTTACTAATTGTAAAGTTAAGAATTTTCTAAGTTGATGAAATAGTTTTTTTAAATTGTAAAAAACTTTAATGTATCTTATAAATTGCTGTAATAAATAACTGAGTTATTATTAAAGAGTAATATCCCAGTTATGTTTAAAAATAATTATAATAGTTTGCTAATATATAGTTATACATAATAAAAAAATCAGGATATTTCTCTTACTAATATACTAGGATAATAACATATTAACTAGTTGCAAATTTCTTCCTGACAAAAATCATATAAGAGAGTTAAGCTAGAGTATTACTGAAGAAATAAACTATTGATTGACATGATTATAACTGTTATATATTGAAAAAATTTTCATGTACACACTAGTGATATGATAGAATCATCCTAATGATTGCATAACTAGTTGCAACATAAACCTTAACTAGTTTCAGCTTAAACTGTAATATCATTGAAAGATTTTACTGCATCACTATTGTGAAAATATTGATTGATTTGTATTATCCACAATTGTTTATAAATATATATTGTGATACCAGATATCATGACCAATCACATGAAAAATACACAAAATGCAATAAGTTACATTTGTAATCAAGAATGGTATTTCATATCCAGAAGGGTAGAGGGGAAAGATGTAAGGATAAATTACACATCCTTAAAGAAATAAAATATTACTGGAAAAATTAAATAAGTAATTGTAAATAACATTAGGTAGTCTTAAAGTAATAATGAATACAAAATCACACTTGTAAGTGATGAACTTACTATTATAAATAAAGACCAAAATGGCCCTTAAGAGCGAGAGTGCTCTGTTGACTTTATTAAATAATAAGTTCCAAATACCTTATATCGCCCTAATAAACACTAACACTATTACCGTTATCAGCCCTGTAAACCCCATATAAACCGTTGTTCGTTCTAGTTCTTGATTGCGTGACTTACCCGACTTGTCTTCGTTGAACCAAAGTAACCGAAAGCCTTAAACACCCACCAGCCAAATCTAACATCCTCTTTCGAAAAGGTTACCTATCGTACGTTACACGATAATTTGAATTGTGGAGCGACCGAGTCGCAACCTTCCGAACCCAACAATATTTATGATAATCGTAGTGTACGTTAAGAATATTTGGTTCAAATATATTAAAAGCATATACTGCCTTAACGTAAATTGTATACATAACATGATCAATTTATTTATTTCACGTTATTATTACTCGATCAGATGACTTTATTAAGACAAAGGAAAAACATATGGGAGCTCCCATAACAGGCTCTACTTCAAATCTGTTAGAATACCTGGAGCCTTGAAATAAATACTGCTATTCCAAACTAGCTGAACCTAACGGATTACAAATCTAAAACATCTAAGTATTTACAGTATATATTCATACTACCCAAACAAACTTAATATATCTTTACATAAAAGGGCAAGAAAGAGAATCGGTTGTATGCAATGTGAGAGCTACCTATCCAGGTAAGTCCTGCGCTGTAGTTACAGTTACAGAACCTGATTATATATTAAAGGTCCTTACAGCCGTAGATACTCACCAATAAAATCTTCGTGTATTAATGCAGCCATGGAGTTAAACACTACTAATGTAATCACTACTCATACATATAGTCCTTGCACTGTTAATGCAGCCGTGAGCACAGTTTTACTTTATTGAAAGTTATCCTTATGCATACTACCTTCAGTTTTTGAAACACTGCAAGGTTGGTGGATATGAGAGAGATGGCAGAGCAAGCCTTCACACAAGACGAGAGATAGCAATAATCAAGATAACCTCTTCCACTAACCAAAATATCCTTACTTGGCAATAAACAATTACATCTTTCTTACATTGCTGATTATCCCTTGCTTCCTTAATCTGTTCTCTAATGATCATAGTAATTCATATTTTAACAATCATATGCAATCATAATATTAACCTGCATCTAAAAAGATACCATAAAGTCTGTACACGAAAACCCATAAAGGTTAAACCAGAAAATTGAACATGTGATTCCGCAATGTCGAAATAATGATCGATCTGTTACTTTGTCGACAAGTGGCATGTAGATCCGAATATAATTATGATAGAGGCATAGGAAGCTAAACTTTTATCTGCAAATTTCGAATCTTTGCTTATTATCCCAAAAATTGACCATTTTCTCGGTTTGATTAGAAATAGTCCTTTGACCTTTCGGTTTTTTTTATTATATTTAGATTTATTTTATAAATCATGTGCTATTTTTAGATATCGAATCCTTTTTTATCAAGACATGCATTTAATTCAAAAATAAGGTAGAATATTTTACTAAAAATGAGGTAAATATAAGTAATCAATACTTAAGGAAATTTTATAGTTTTAAAGCAGATTAAATAAAAATTTAATGTTTATATTACAATATATTTAAACAATTAAGTTCTATCTGCCTTTCAATTTGAAACATTCTATATAGCTAGATTTGGATCTGTAAAGGTAAATTTGGTTCATAAAATTTAAAAATATTCTAACGCTAATAAAAATATTAGAAATTATATGAAATACGTATATAATTTAAATAAGAATCAACTTCCTTAATATATATCTTTTAACTTTGCTTTAAAAATAATAAATCAATTATCAGACAGTGAATGCTATTTGATCAAAAAATTATAAATACAACCTGAATGCAATAAAAGTTTTTTGAGCACAGATCGTACAGATTGTACAGTACGTAATACGATCTGATTTTTATGAAAATCTTTACGGTTTTAATCAAAGAAAATATGGTAGATCACTGGTAAAAGCGTACATGCTTAAGCATTCTACGCTAACGCTAAATGGAAATCTAAGCCATTTCGTGAAAGAGGATTAATTAATTAATAATCTAATGCATATATACAATTATTGTTTTTTTCTTTTTTTATACAGTATTAATGCTGATTTTTGTTTTTTTTCCTTTTTTCATACATTATTATGCTTTGTGATTTTTTTCTGCAGTTAAAATCTTTACAATGAGATTCTCGAAATTCATTAACATGAAACTTTCACCTATTTCATTATTAGTAGAGTAAAATCATGAAATTATACATACAAACCATTCATTTATCAATACTATCCTTACTACTTATTTTCGCACATGGGACTAATTCTAGTCAATCTAAAAATATCACTATCAATCCTAATATACCTAAAGTCATTTCTATCAGCAATATCAAATCATTCACTGCCAAGGCAAATGCGATAACTACAACCAAAAACATTTCTCCTACTTTCAAAGCCAATGCAATCACTAAGACCAAAGTCTCCTTCTCCCATTCTGTTAAAGTAAATGCAATCACTAAGCCCAAAGCCTCCTCCCATTCTGTTAAAGTAAATGCAATCACTAAGACCAAAGCCTCCTCCTATTCTGTTAAAGTAAATGCAATCACTAAGACCAAAGCCTCCTTCCATCCTGTTAAAGTAAATGCAACCACTACGACAAAAGCTACCTCCATTACCTTCAAATTCAATGCAGTCCCTACGACCAAAGCAATCGTTACTGATAACATCACCACGGCTAGAATAACTAATACAGAATCAGCAACTAGCACAACTGCAACCATTAGTCTAGTAATTGCAGCTTTCGCAACAGATCCAGTTACCTTTACAACTTCTACAGATTCAACAACTAACAAAACTGCAGTAATTGTAGCTATCAACACAGACCCAGTTACAACAAATTCAATTGCAATGCATCCTTCTGTAGATTCAGAAACTAGCATAACTGCTCTAACTACCACTGTTCATCCAGTAATTGCAGCCATATCTTTAAATTCAGTTACTACTACGGCTGCAATAATCAATGCAGATTCAGCAACAAATACAACTTCAATAGCTGCCACCACTGATTCAGTTGCGGATACTGTTGCAATAGCTAATGCAGATCCAGCAACTAATACAAACTCAATAGCTACCGCCACCACTAATCCAACAATTGCAACTTCCACCGCAGATCCTGTTATCACTATGACTGTAATAGATTCAATAGTTAACACAACCGCCACCACTGATCCAATAATTGCTGCTACCAACACAGGTACAATTACTGTAACAACAAGTTTTACTAGTATAGCCACAATAACTGCCGCCATGGATCCAGTGATTGCAGCCATCGCCACAGATCCAGTTACTACTATGACTGAAATAGATAATACCGATTCAATTGCAATGCATCCTTCTGTAGATTCAACAACTAGCATAACTGCTCTAACCACCACTGTTCATCCAGTAATTGCAGCCATATCTTTAGATTCAGCAACAAATACAACTTCATTAGCTGCCACCACTGATTCAGTTGCGGATACTGTTGCAATAGCTAATGCAGATCCAGCAACTAGTACAGCCTCAATAGCCACCACCACCACTAATCCAACAATTGCCACAGATTCAGTTATTATTATGGTTGCTAATACAGATTCAGCAACTAGCACAACTACAATAGCTGCCAACACTGATCAAGCAATTTTTGTGCTAACCAATAAAGATTCAATAACTAGTACAATTTCAATAGCTGCTAATATTGATCCAGTCGTTACAGCCACAGTTGCAGATTCAGTTACTACCACAGAAACCACAATTGTTACCACCACTGATACAGTAATTGCGGTTATCGCCACAGATCTAGGTACTAATATGACCACAATAACTAACACAGATTCAGCAACTAGCACAACTGCAATAGCAGCTATCGAGGGAGTTACCAATACTACTGCGACAGCTACACCAATTATTACTCCTACTCCCTATTGTTGTAGACCTAATGATCCAGGTTATGGATATTCACACGCTGCAGCTTATAGGATGAATTTTTATACTAAAACATCATTAGAATGTTGTATAGCTTGTATCAATGATGATGAATGTCTTCAGTGGTTCTTTGACCAAAATAATTATCTTTGTTGGTTTTCTATCATGTCTTTAAATTTAGATGGTGTCTGTGAACAAAGATACACATTACTTCGTTACTATGATGGTGGAATTATGAGATGTTCAACCGGTTGTATGCCATAACAAGTTCTGCACTTATTCATGTGTTGGAAGGTTCATTTTTAAAGTAACTGAGATAGTCTCGAAATGTCTGATTTGGATTTATCAAATTAGTCAGAATTAAGAAATAACAGTAAACTATTCTGTAGCAAAATTATCAAATTACTTGTGGATTTTTGTTTGATTTTTTATAATTTCAAATATGTAATAATTATTGTTAAATCTTAATATTTTCACAGATAATTTATTTACATTGTTTTTATTAAGTTAAATATCTAGATTAGTTAAAGATGTTTGCCTTTTTGAAGTTTTTGAAAAATAATAATATAGATTAGTTAATAAATTCTTAATAAATATAATAATAACAAATTCCGACCAGAAGTTTGTTGATCACAGACGTTGACCAATCAAAATCGAGGATCAATCCGCATTTTTTGTGGTTTAATGTAAGGAACTGCATGGACCTACTTTTGCCGACCCGCAAAATAAAATTTATTATGTTTTTTAAAAGTTCGGCCGCTTTTTACTATAGTTTTATAGGGTGCGCCATATCATAATTAATCAAAACAGGGGTGTGGCGACCTAGTAAAGTGGTCAGGTTGTCAACCCCCCAAGTGGTAGGTTGGGTGTTCAAATCCCATCAATGACGAAAATTTGAATAATCACTTATGTAATATTTGTATTACAGCAACTGTTACTAATGATTGGGTTAGGATACCTATAATGGCGGTTGCACCAGCATGACTGGCAGGTCATGGGGCATCCGTGCAATGTTGGAGTTACACAGAGGAATGCAAACTGACAAATCGGGCAGTGCAAACACTAGATAAGTCCTTGTGGTCATGTAAATCCATTGAAATTGTGTAACAAGAAGTCCATTTGGAAAGACCCAAGTAGAGAGATAGTTGGATCTTTGACAGCCCTACTGTAAAGGCTAGCCTAGGGAAACAGATACTCAGGTCTAGTACCTGGTCCTAGTAGCCAGACAGACAAGAACCTCTGAGTTGGGAGTCTCAAAGGTCCATCAACCAGGCCACTGAAACGAACCAGAGGAAAAGGATATCAGGTCAATCTGATATACTGATGGACTGGTCATAGTCCTACATGGGTTATCTGGATTGGGAGTTTGGTAAAAGGGCAGAGGAAAAGGCAGGGGCATACTAAAGTACCGGGGTTATGCTGTGAAGTAGATATTGGGATCTAAGTGAACTCTACAAGGGTATAGCAGTTTAATGATTAGTCCTGACTACAAGTGTTAGTTCTGCTATAGCGATATCTAGGTTAGTTGTAACAATGGATATAGAAGATTCTGGGGGGTTTACCTCAAAGATAAACTAGTCTTAAGGTTGAAGATGATGATCTGGTATATCTGAGATGACTAGTGATGTTAATACAGGTTACAGGTTCAGAGAGTTTAAAATAGAACATCCAAGTAAGAATGTTAGGTATGATAATTGGTAAGAAACCTTCAGGCAGACTCCTTAAATAGGTAATATAAAAAAGTTACATGTGTAGCCAATTGTATACTCTCCTGTAGTGGTTCATTGAACCACAATACTGATAAGTGATTAATAAAAATCAAAAGACCAAAGAGGTCATTTTAATACTAAAAAAAAAAAATAATAATTAATTAAAACTATGTTAAATTTGTAAATCTGCTAAGTGCAGATTTTTGATATTACATGAATATCAATTCTTACTAGTATGCAAATTCAGCAATTCAATTGGTCCGAGATTATATAATAGCTATAAAGTATTTGAATAATAGAATCAGCTAAGGATTATTATAAAATAATATATAAAAATAAGGCTCATTGAAAGTTTTGTTAAATTTATAATAATAAAAATGCTTTCATTCATTTTTAGTTAAAGTCAAAATGTTGCATTTAAGTTATATGAATTAAATGTTTATTTCAATTAAAAAAAAAAAAGATACCAAAAAAAAAGAAAATATTATTTTATTTTATTTAAGAAAAATATTTTGGGGTTGTTATTGTTTTTAAAGCAGTTTTAATTTTATTTTTAATAAAAACAATCAGTATATTTAAAAAAAGTTTAAATTTGGTTATTGATAATTAATATCTAATAAAAAATGTAATAAATATTTCATTCACTTTGTCTTTTCCATGTTGATCAGTCTCACTTGAGATTTTTCGTTTCTTATAAATATATACTATCTTTAATTCTTCTTTTGAACATTTAAAAATAGAAGTGTTTGCAAGATACATTTTAGATTCTTGAGTATTCTTTGATATGTTTGGGTGTGTTTTGTAATCGAATTTGTTAAAAAGTCACTCAATCTGCTGTTGTTATGTAATTAAATACCAAATATGATGTTTAACAAAGTCTAATAATCTAGAAAAAGAATAAATTGATTGGTTAGTATTATGAATAAATGCTATAAATTCAGTATAAAAATTAAAATTTTTAAGAACTTCTGATAATCTGAAATCATTGAAGTTTCTGGTACTTGTATTAACTTCAAGAAATTTTGCATAACAAATTTCTCAAAGAGTCAGAGTTCTTGGTCAAGAATGTTTTAAAATAATAAATACAAAACTACATACAAATTTCTGAGCTTTTGGTCTACCCAATTGGCAAATACTTAAGGATAGATAAAGCCATTCGTAAAACTATTTTTGGTGTAGTTCAAGAGCTTTCTGAACTCCAAGTTCTAAAGAAGTAATTAAAGATTCAAAAATAGTATGATTAAGTATTTCATTTGTCTTTAACAATTCTTTACCAAAAAAATGATATAAATTTTGTATTATAATTGACAACCATGTATAGTATGAAGAATAAATTCAGGCATTTGATATGAATGACATCCTATTGGTAAGTAAGTAAAAGAATCATTTCCAATAGATTTAAGATTAGAATCGAATCCAACTATAAATTGAATCATTGAATGATAAAATTTATTTCCAAATTTAACTAAATATTTTAATTAAAGGTTTAGTAAAGGATTATTAAGCCTGCTTTGAAAAAGTTCCTATTTTTTAATATATTCTTGTGGTGTCTTCTTATATAATTTTAATTGAGATATAAACCAATTGACAAATAAATTATATGAATCATAAAGATCAAGAAATTGTTCTTCACATTCAAGTTTATAAAGCCAGCAGGTTAGAATTAGGTTTTGATATTTTGTTATTTTAAATCCTAATAAATCTTTATAGAGATGATGAATATGTTCTGATCGTATATCCATAGGGCTTTCTTTATCACTATCACTATAATCATCATAAAGTTTGTAAGCTAATTTTAAAAGATTAAATAGAACTTTTTTATTTGTTAAATCTGCAGCTGGTGGTAATTTTCCAAATGTGGTCTTTTCAAAACCTATTATAATTATATATGCTATATGCATTTCACAGAAAATTCGATAACAATTTGTTTTTTTTTTTTTTTATTTTTTTTTTTTTTTAGTTAAAGTCCCTATCTTGGGAGTTGTGATGTTTTTATTCAAGTATATTAGGACATGACATGCCACCAAAAGCTCACCTTACATTGGAAGTTACAACTAGCCATACATGCACTTTTGGTATCTAATTTAAGTAGTCTGCTTACACATTATTATATAAGTTCTACACTAGTTGCCATATCTGCAAGCCAACTAAGGGTCTTGCTTATTTAAACTCTCTGTATATGTAGTTTTTCTTGTATCATGGGAACATCTTAAGGCACTACCCATCCAAGTTTCTGATGCTTATCAGTTTCCTTAGAACTAAATTATCCTCGATAGGAAACTTACTAGAGCCTTTATATCCCACACATTTAGACCTAGTTTTATGCAATATGCTATAGTTACTTAACACTTGCAGTCACAGGGGTTATCTGTTTAACTGCTACATTACACTATTTCTACTCTTGTA